TACATTGCATGGAACTGTATATACATCAATCCTGTAGAAATGATAAAGATTGGAGTAGCTCTTTTGAGCATTGTGATAGAATAGCGTATTTTATGAAGGCAAGTATTTAAATCTCGCCACCACTGGCAATGCTGTTGAGAGACGAAAGAATAATAAATACTGATTTACTTCAGATCGAATCCAGTTAGTAGGATCTTTACTGATTTGGAGTGGGGAGCATTAATTTGCAACACTGTAATGTGTAAACATCTCTTACGAATCATTTATGGTGAACTTCCTTAAGATGGGCTGTGAGGCAACCTAACGTTGCTGCTGAAAGTAGTCACCTTGCTCCCACAAGCACTTCCTTTGTCTTAGCTAGACACTTATTTTACTTCTTGCTTTGGTAAGTTAAATCAGCTCAACAACAAAGCACGTACTTGCTTTCTTTTGATGCTGGCTCAGGCAGGTAAATCCACCCACAAGGAGGGTGGTAGAGCCAGCGAAAGACAGGTAGTGGAAGTGCAAGGGCAACAGCTGGAACAAAGTAGGAACGGGTGACTAAGACTGTTTCTTCAGCAGCAATAAAGTGCTAAGTTGGATGCTCAGCTGTTTAATGGAATTTCACCTTTCAGGAAGCCCAATAATGCTGACAAGTTGTTTTGCATGTGTTTTTTTCCAATTGCTTGATCACCTGATACCAATATTCCATTTGGTTTTGAGGAACTGGATCTTTATCACCCATTTCAGTATTAAATGCAAGATAGGTAACAAAAAGGCTGGTACCATGACTTTTTTTTGTTATTCCAAAATTATAACTTCAATTTCTGTTTGTTGCTGAAGTAAAGTTAGGTCACAAGGAATTCAGCAATGCACTTGGACTTACCAGGTGGAGAAAGTGAAGTGTATCCCAGTAAACGCCATTTTATGTAGGCAGCTCTACTATAATTTTGATGTTGAAAACCCACTCCGGAGACTTTGGAGATTAATGATAATATACATTTCTGGAAGAGCATGTACCTCATTGCTAAATGTCATATAGAATTGCTTTTTAAATTTATCGGTTCCTCTATATTTCATTACAGCAATGACTGCAGGCATTTTTTTATGTCAAGCAGACATCAGCTTAGATGTATGCTAGAGCTGAAGTTTGTATAACTGCAACTAACTCTCTTCTGGTTTTGCCATTTTCCAGCAAAATGTGACTAACTTCATTAGATTATTTACTTTGCATGTTCTGCCTTGGCAATCATGAATGTGCATTTGTTTCTCCAGTAAAGAGCGTCATCTGAGCACTGACTCAGTTAAGCTGGGCAGGGCTATTTTGAGCAGTAGGTAACAACCTTGAAGTCACATGTAACAGAGTTATGGCAAAAAGCTTTTAATATTGTCTAAATGGTAGGCTGAGAAATTTTGAAGTGGTGTTACCAAAAAGGAATTCCTGTTTCAACAAAAATACTATTACATTTTTTCAGGTCTGTTTATTACTAACCAGTTTTTTTTAATGCATAATATATAGCAACATTTAAGTATCAACTGAAACGGCACCTTTTTTCTTTTCCCTTTTGCGTGTGTTGTATGTGTTTAAAAACAACTCACTGGCAAATGCCTCTATAAAGAAGAGAAGTCTATCTCCATGCTGGTTCTTGAATTTTCTCAATGTTTGTGTGCCATATGGTTTTACAATAAGGAAAACTCAAAAGGCATGTAGGTGGACTAAAAGAGGAGGAACTAAGATAAAACTAAAGAAAACTAGCAGACAATTTGCTTCATTAAATGCAAAAACCTTAACATGGTACTGGGTATACCCCAAACAGGAAATTTTTAGCTGTGCCATCATAGTGAATTAGAGTGTGTCTTTGGGGTAGTATTTTCTTAGAATCAGTTGGAGAACAGAAGTTGCCTGGAAAAGTGAAGAATAATAAATTTTATTATTCTGCATTTAGTAGTTCATCACTTCCCTTTTTGCTTTAGTCCTTTCTTCAGGAAATCCAAACCTTTAGAAAACTAATTTCGCTGAACTGCTATAAAGCCTCCCTGTTTCCAAGGCATCGAAATGACATTGTTGTATTTATTATGAACTGTTGAATGTCGCTATTGAAGGTCATATCCAGGTATGCTAAATCATAAACCTGGACCAACATTTGCATTTGTTATTATTTTGACATGCGACAATTTCAATGCAATAATAGCTGTTAGTTTCTCTGGATCATCCAGGTTCTTCTTCTCCCCATTATTTGGTGGATGTATTTCTGCTGTTCTTGCATTCTAAAGTGAATCCTGTCCAGTGTGGTTTTCCTTCCTGATTCAGAATTAATGGTGAGGAGAGGAAATAAATGTGCTGACCTTTGAGACTTTTTTTTCCCCCCTCGTTTTACAAAGTTCTACAATACCTTTTGGTGTGGCATGCTAGCCTAAGAAAGTTTCTGTCAGCATTGTCCCGAAAGCGTTGTCAGGAGTTAGGCATCAGAAACATACTTGAATCAGTATTAGAGAAGTTCACTTCCATCAGCAGCCGTGCAAATTCACATCTGGGAGAAGTGAGTGGTAAGCAAGAGCATAGCTACAATACCAAAACTGGAGAAGTCCGTTCCTTTCCTGTGCCGGTGCTGACATTGGCCATTTGGTTGTCATTTCTGCAGAGTTGTTATGGCAGCACAAGGGCCTTTCGGTACAATACTAAATTCTTCTTGGAATTGGTGCACGGGCCTGATGTTTTATTCCCCACTCTGTTAAAAACTATTAAAAATGGGACATTATTTTCTGTTTCACTGGTAAGGGGTTTTATGCTTCTGAAAACTTCAGAGAATTTCCTCCTCTAAAAACACTTTCAAGTCATGAATTTTCATCACCAAAGAAGAAAGTTAATGTCAGGATTTAAGACATAATCTATGATTAGTGTATGATTTCGGCAAATCTGGGTTATGTGTAAGAAAGTAATCTCTCCAACTACCATGGCAGATGCTTCACTTTTATATCATTTAATTCAATAGACAAATAAGATCTATTCAATCCTAAAAATTTGTCTGGCATCCCATGTCTCTTTTTGGGGGAGACAGGAGGCGTGTTGCTGATTAGGGAACATATTTGTGAACAGAATTTGGGGTGGAATTTGTCTTGGCTAACTTCAAGCATCTACAGTATAGACATATGCACTTAAACCATAGGGCGCTGTATTGAAAGTACACTGATTTGGAAAAGGGGAAGTCAGTTTTTATTATTCAGAGGGAAGCACCATGTGGACTTAAATGCCAAAATTTGAAGGAAATCCCATTTCTTAGTAGGATGTCTCATCTGGATGCCTTTATAGGGCAATTAAATTTGTGTGCTTTCCAACAAGATCTTTTCGCAGATGCGTAGTGCTTGTTGCAGCAATATCAAGGCACCAAGACTTTTGAATCCTGTTCCAGTCAAGTGATTTTGTGGGTATACTGAGGCCAAGAAGGCTGCTGAGGTGCTTCACACTCACATATTAGGAGGGTTTACTTTGTAGAGTTCAAATTAGAAAGAATTTATGAGACTAACAATAAATAAATTTAAGAATGAATAAAGGGTAAGGGTAGGTTTCCATAGGTGACTTTTAGGTCCCAGGTTGCCTACTAGTGCCTCTGGCTTTCCCTCTGCATGCGCAGTCACCCCTTTTTTTTTTTTTTTTTTTTTTTTTTTAGTTTTTTTTTAAAAATTTTAAAAAAAACC